ACCGGACCGGGACCGGCAACGGGATCGCAACCCTCGGTGTCGCACCCGCACCTCGCTCAGCCAGTGAGCGGGAACCGGTCCGCATGTGGGATCCGAACCCTCGGCGGGAGCGCCGCCGCACTCCCAAGCGGCACACTGTAGCAGTGCGCCACCGGGCCGGCCCTGCTACTCAGTTCTATATCCAAAATATTTTATTTATCTGCCTTCCATTTCCATTCGTGCCACCCTAACCCAACTCCTTGTCACCTCTCTCTGGGACTGCTGGGACTACTGACAGTACTAGCCTCCTACTCTGCTTCTATGTTATTGCTTTCCTACCACCCATTCTCCCCACAGCTGCCAGAGTGAGGTGTTGTTTTGTTTAATTTTTTTTTTAAAGGAAACTTGATCATGTAAAACCTTTATTTAGATCTCTTCAGTAGCTTCTTTCTGAATAAAACCCTAACTCCTTACCAGAGTCTGTGAGGTTCTGAGTAACCATGGTCTCCTAACTCTTCAATCCTATAACATACAATTCGTTCTCCTTGCGCTGGCCTCCCCACTAATCCTCAAAACTACCAAGTCCTTCTGTACCTCCTGAACTTTGCATTTGTTATTCCCGCTCCCTAAAAAGCTCTTTTCTCAACTCTGCACATAGATTATTCTCATCAATCAAATCTCAGCTCAAATGATCTCTGCTACAGGTGATTTCCCCTGATCAACTACAGGGCCTTTACCAGTCATTCTAGTTAAGTTCCCTCATAGTACTTAAGAGCCAATTAACCATCCTGTTTAGTTGTTCATTCACTAATTATTGTCCAACCCTTATTATGATGTAAACTCAGCCAGGGCAGACACCGTATTTGTCTTACTCTCCTCTCTATACCTGGTAAACAGACACTCCATGTTTTTTGAGTTAATAAATTAACACGTGAATGGAGTATTTCACATAGGTAAACTGTTTCAGGTTAACTAATGGGTGTGGTTAAGTATCAACACTTATTTTAACCACTTAGGATTACTATCTTTCCCAAACATGTAATCCTGAAAATCAAACTTTTGTCAGTGACTGAGAAATATCATTCTTGTCATCTATTACTGAAGTATTTAGAGTTAGGGGGCTGAAATTAAGATAGTAATAGATTCTTTGACGTCCATAACTCCCCAAATGAAGTCTAACAGAATTAGCGTATGGTAGTCTTTTGGCCACTGCTATCTGTCCAGAGGAGAGTAGACTGAAGAGACAAATTTATAGTCCAGGCTTATAGAAGAGATTTCTCTTTTGCCCCCACTGGCTGTTACTAAAGACATATGCTGCTCAATTTGCAGCTGGCAGCTGTCTTGCCAAGCCTAAGAATAAAGCGGACACTCCAAGAGCTGTGGGAGAGAGATGAAAAAAACCCAAGTTTTGATGACATCATGGAACTGCTGTATCAAGGAATCCTGGAGCTAACCCTACCTTTTTAAGCCAGCTGTGCTTTGTTACTTTAAGGGAAAAGCATCTTGATATGGAACACTTTACAAAAGAGCTCATTTTCTCTCTTTTTAAAATTTCTGAATCTGTTTTTTTGGAGCACTTTGTTTCCATGAAAGGTGGTTGTTCTCTGAAAGAATATGATAACGTAATAAATGGAGTTCTAGAATAGGACATTAAATCTTAGCTCTCCTACTTATTATCTGTGACTCTAAAAAAAATCATTTAAACTCTCTGAGCCTCAAGATTTTTCTTTTTTAAATCAGTAGTATCTGAAAGAAACATAGTATTATTATTATTACATTATCACAATGCCCTTTAACTAACGTTTATTAAGTAACTACTATAATACTGTAATACCAGAAAGTACTTTACAATCCTGAGAAATTATAAGATTCTTGAGGGGGAAGTATATATTTTTAATCTTTATATTCCCAGTGTCTGCCACATAGCAGGTACTCAATAATTATTTGAGTAATGAGTTAGTGAAATAATTCATGGTAGAACTCAGTACATAATCACCATCAGATTATAATCAAATTATTCAGAACCATATCCATGTATAGAGTAAGACTTTAGTTTTTATGTTAGAGACTCTAATTTTCACATATAATTATTTGAGAATCCCTCCAGTAAGATATTTTTCTTAATGGCAGACAAACCTTGAGTGTGTATTGCCCAAGGCTGTGCTCTCAAACACACAACACATTTGTCCATTTAAATCTCACCTGTTAAGCCAGTAGGATATGAACTAGGCACCACTGAGAATGAGGAAGACGCTCCTCCAAAAGGTGTCACCCCTGAGGATCCTCCAAAAGGTGTCATGGAACGACTGCTAAAATTAACTGACGTTCCCTTTGCTGAGGATGATGGTACCACTGCAGTGTGTTCTGCTCCATAATGGCTGAGGCTTGTACTGATAGGCTCTGAAGTGTTTTCAGTTCTATATTCAATGGCTGGACTTTTGTTTTCTTTACTTTTAATGCAGCCCATTATCAAATCTACAGAGGCAATAAGGCAAATATTTTGAGAGTCAGTGAGCATGAAGAATACTTCAAAAAGATACAATTCAAAAGTTGACTTTAAATAAGGCACTTTCTCTGGCAAAAATTTTGAATTGCATAAAACAGAAAAAAAAACAACCACAAACAGCTGAAAATGAAGCCTCTTCCCTCACTTATTTTTATTACTTTTCTGTTAAGCCCGACTCCATTCACGTCATTCACAAACTCAACCACTTTTAATAGTCCAATGACAACATGGCACAGCACGTCGGGAACACCACAGGCTCTGAAGCCAGAGAGGCCTACATTTGAATCCTGGCTTCCTACTTAGTAGCAGAGTGATTTCAGGTATATTGCTTAACCCTTCTGCACCCCAGTTACTTGAAAAAGTATCACCTAGGGCCGAGCCCGTGGCGCACTCGGGAGAGTGCGGCGCTGGGAGCGCAGCGACGCTCCCGCCGCGGGTTCGGATCCTATATAACACTGGCCGGTGCGCTCACTGGCTGAGCGTGGTGCCGGCGACACCACACCAAGGGGTGCGATCCCCTTACCGGTCACGAAAAAGACCAAAAAAAAGAAAGAAAGAAAGAAAGAAAGAAAAGAAAAAGTATCACCTACCTCATATGATTTACCATGAGGATTAACTCAACTTTATTACAAGTTCTAGACAATATGGCCACATTGTGGGTATTAGCAATTACCCACTATTTCGTATTCTTTCTATCTATACCAGCACTATGCAATAGAGATATAATCTAAGTCACAAATGGGAGCCACATACATAACTTAAAATATTCTAATAGCCATATTTTAAAAATACAAAGAAACAATTAAGTTAGCTTTAATAACACAAGTTTGCACTTAAACATGGATTTGAACTACACATGTCCACTTGTGCACAGATTTTTTTCAACCATCCAGGGATCGAAAACATAATATTTCCATGCGGTACCCATACACGGAGAGCAATTTTTCCTGTTCACAGGTCCACAGATTTTGGTATAGGCAGGGGTTCTGAAACAAATACCCCACATACACTGAGGGATGACTGTATATTTTATTTAACCCAATGTATCTAAAATATAATCATTTCAACATGTAATCAATATAAAACTTTTTAATAAGATGTTTCATAGTCTCTTTTTTTTCTGTACTAAGTCTTAGAAACCCAAATATGTATTTTGCACTACCAGCACATCTCAATTTGGACTAGACACACTTCAAGGGCTCAACAGCTGTATGTGGCTAGTGGCTGCCATATAAGACAAAATAGATCTCTACCTTTTCCCTTCCCAGTCAACAGACACAACCCCAATGCTTATCAAAGATATCTTGACAATATTTCCAACTTTATCCCTTACTATTTTCTCATACTTATTTTATGTTAACACATACAAAAAAATCCTATATCCCCAAAACATATGCCCTGTGCTTTCCCATTTTTAATGAGTTTTTCCCTCTAAAACTGCCTCTTGTCCAAAATACTCTTCCCGCATCTCTACCTGCTAAAATCCTATCCATTCACTGATGGTCATCACAAGTGTTGCTTTTCCATTCAGGGTTTCTCTATAATTTTAAAAGTCACTCCTATTTGCAGTTTTCCCCTTCCTATGACACTCAAAAGGAGGGAGGTGAGTAATAAGATGACTAACTCACAAATTCTGAAAAACTAAACATTTACAGACTCGGCTGTATAATATTAATTTTAAATGTAGTTGTAAATATTAAAATAGAAGCAGTCTCAGAATCTCAGGATCAGAAGGTTTTCCGAACACTCTTTTAAATGAGTATATTCTAAATATGGGATGGTTAAGTACAAGTATTAAACATGACAAGGTCTAAGACTTTAAATATATACTGAAATACTATGAGGAAATTATAAGCTAAATATATAAAAGGCAATTGCTACTAAAAGTATTAGAAAAAGGTAAAGGTAAATAATTTCATGATCTGGGATTGGAAAAGTCTTTAAAATCATAATGTAAAAGTATAGACCTTAAAGGCAAAGATTAATAGATACAATCATGTAACTTCCATATGGGGGCAGGGGTGGGGACAAAACCTCTTAAGTGAAACTAAAGATATAAGAAATAGGGAAAATATCTTTGTACTTGCTCATGCTCTTTCTTGCTCTCTCAATATACACATAAATGTACACATATGAAAGAAAACTGGTTGATATTAATAGACAACTTTTATGCAAGAAGATAGCTCCACAGAGAAACAGGAAAGCCTATGTAGAGACAATTCTCAAAAAAATATGGGAGGCCAATTAACATATGAAAACGCATGCAAACTTCCCAGTCTTTTAATGAATGCAAATTAAAGCAAAATACCTTTTTTGCTTACCAGATTAGAAAATTCTGACTCAAATCTCAATGCTGAAGGGTAAAATTTAACCAACAATCAACATATATCCACAAAATATGTTAAACTCAAAATATATGAAAATATCAGTACAAGGAATTTTCAAAATTACCTATATCCAAAGTCTAAATATTAAAAATATATTTTTAACAATGACATAGGGCCGGCCCGGTGGCGCACTCGGTAGAGTGCGGCGCTCCCACCGAGGGTTCGGATCCCATATAGAGACCAGTCCACTCACTGGTTGAGCGCGGTGCGGGCGCGACACCAAGGGTTGCGATCCTGTTGCCGGTCGCGGTATGGGCGCGACACCGTGGGTTGCGATCCCGTTACCAGTCACGAAAAAAGACAAAAAGGAAAAAACAAACAAACAAACAAACAAAAAACAATGACATAAATTAGACTTTGAAAGAATAACAGTTGTATGAAGTGTTGCGATCCCGTTACCAGTCACGAAAAAAGACAAAAAGGAAAAAACAAACAAACAAAAAACAATGACATAAATTAGACTTTGAAAGAATAACAGTTGTATGAAGGAAAAAAAATTATGAGGAAAAGCCAGCAACTACTGTAATTTATTTTAAATTTGATAGCAGGTGACTGCAAAACACCATGTCAATCACAACAGAGACTACGATAATTACCCGCCCACTTCTGTTTCCATTCCCAGCTTCCTTAATTCCTCATCTTCACCTTCTTCCTCACCCTGTAGGAACCTTCTCTACTCAGTAACCTCCCTGTAAGACACCACACCTACCTTCAAGTCCTCTTCCTTCAACAGTCACACCTCTTTTTCCTCACACTATCAAGTCTTCCATTACTACTTTAACCTATCCTCCAGCCTCTTTTTCTTAATCCAGAGTTTTTGGCACAACTCCTCACATACACCCAGTTACCCTTTTCAATAGCTCTGGGACAGACCACCATCTTCAACCCAGTTCCACTAGCACCCCACTATCAACACAAAGGAGTCATCATTACTGCCCATCACATTTAGAAAGGTTACTAAAAATGTAAATCACAGCCTACATTTGTAAGTAAACTTCAGGTGCAAAATGAGTTCAACAGATTTTTATGGGTTGTCTTAGAAACATAGCACCATTTAAAACACTTACACGGGAAAGTCTCTTCTCAGTTTCAAGCTGCTTGACTGACAGATATATACATTTATTAACAACATATATTAGACACTGTAAAAGGAGCTGAGGATGGCAATAAATGGTCCCCTTTCTTTAAAAAGGTCACAAATAAGTGTAAGAAACACAGTACTATAAAATGTGAAAAATGCTAGAGTGAGAAAACATGCTAGACTGGAGGTATGTACAAAACACCATGGGAATACAACAGAAGTTATCAGCTCTACCTTGAGTACTTAGGAAAGAAAGTTTTGCAAAGGAAGTAGCATCTGAGCTAGGTCTTGAAGAGTTGGATATTTAAGGAAAGGAAACAGGATATCCCAGGAAGAATGAAAAATGTGCAGAATGGCTCAGATGCTTGAAGAAGCATGGTGTATTCTGGAACAGAAAACTCTTCTGTGGCACGAGTGTAAGGGGGTGTTTGTGAGCATAGCAGAACAGGCAGCTAGAGACAGAGGAGAATTTATAAAGGATAGTTCATTATGCAATAACTTTTATACTTTACCTAGTAAGCACTAGGAAGCTATTCAGGGATTTTTAAGAATCTAAGTAGTAAGAGAAGATACTTGTTTTTAAATAACTATAACAGAAAGGTGAATCATAGGCTGGAAAGGCAAAGTAACAGTAGCAGTTAGGCGAGTTATAAAACTACTGCAATGACCCATGTCAGAAAGGACAAATCAGGAACACTGTGGGGCCAATGATGAAGGGGAAAATGAGAAGCGTGTAATAAGCAGAATAATCAAGTTTAGATGATCAGGTGAATATGGGGAGAGGCAACATGAAGAAAAAGTCATTTGTTAAGTTCACTCTACAGTATTTATTGAACACTTTAAAAGCAGAAACTAGACATATGGGTTAAGGGTTTGATGACTCCAAGTTTTTAGGCTGAACCAGGTGGAAAGTTACACCACAACTGAGGTAGAGGAGAGAAGAACAGTTTTTCGGACCAATGAGTTCAGTTTCAAATATTTGTTTGAGTGCTTATGGGGCATCGTGTCATGAAGTCTAGTGAGGGATTGATAATAAGTTCAAAGCTCAGAAGAAGGTGGAAACCAAAGAAAGACTAAACAAAAATATTTGCACACTTTCAACTAAACCTTTTGAAGATAATAAAACTGACCCAAGGTACCGATTTAGAAGTAAAGAATTAAGGGCTGAGCCCATGGCGCACTCGGGAGGGTGCGGCGCTGGGAGCGCGGCAGCACTCCCGCCACAGGTTCGGATCCTATATAGGGATGACCGGTGCGCTCACAGGCTGAGCGTGGTGCGGCCGGTCTCAAAAAAAAAAAAAAAAAAAAAAAAAAAAAAATTAATACAATGTGGAGGTCACCTACATGCAAGGATGGACAGGGAAAGAAATTAGGAAGCTGCAATTAGAGTTGGGAATACTTCCATAAATATAAAAACATGGTTGGAAAAGATGATAATCAACTTTAAGACAGTGGAATGGGTTGGGAAAGAGATTCAACTATATCTGTTGCATTTT